AATGAGGATGCAGAGAAAAAGGAGGAGATGGAGGAGGAGGAGGAGGAGGAGGAGGGGGAAGGCAAAATAAGAACTAATAGAAGTAGAACGTATAGATAAAGATGAAGACAGACGAGGAGAAAGAGAAAAAGCAGGGAGAAAGAGAAGCCGACAGCAGTGTTTGTCGCCTCTCATTCTTTCACTCGGATGGCACACGCCATCTCCTCCATCCATCTCCTCTCTCCACGCGCCTCTTCTATTACCTTAAGTAGCGCGAGGCCACCAGCCCGACACACGACAGACAACCTCGGGAACAAACGCAAAACTAAATGTCTATATAAGTGCTATGTAATGCGTTACGTACGTACTGGTAACTGCCATGTAAGTGTTGAACCCGAAAAAGGCGCAATCGCGTCGTGGAATTTGAACCGATACCGGTTCTAACAACGCGGCGTTCCTGAGCGAATGAGGAACTAACGCGAATGATGGCTGAATGAACGCGGGAACGATGGCTCACGCGTTTACGATGGTATATAATGGCGGGGTTCTGGCGTCTGGAAATCTCGCCGTAAACACGCGCTGATAAGATACGGTAGGCGGATATAGAGACGGGTTCTGTTATAGCAGAGCGGTGATCAACGCTGCACTCAGACACGCGTGCGCTGACAAGTATGTAGGTCTAGATCTTACGTAACCATTCTACGAGTAGCTGTGCATGATCTATACTGTCTGTCTATGTGTCTGCCCGTCAGTTCGTCTGTCCGTACGTCAATCCGTCCACCTGTCTGTCCATCCGTCCATTCGTTCATGTCTGTCCGTCCGTCCGTCCGTCAATCCGTCTGTTCTCCTTCCGTCTGTCTGTCAGAGAGCCAGTCAGTCAATCCGACTGCCTGTTTGAATATCGGGGGTAACTCGTCCATCCTCGTTCCTCCCCCGCGCGTCCATCCACCCATTTACCATCTCTCCACCAATCCATCTATTCCTCCAATTATTTGTTATACAATTACAAGAAGCATACATTATCAGTAGCAAACATATTTTTAGGTTGATTGGTTCGTGCCAACCCGTTAGCATGCTCAAACACGCTCGCACAAACATTATGAAACGCAGCAGAGGTTAAACGAAACAAAGAGGGTTCTGTATGCTGGTGTGCATGTTCACCGTGGAATTACACGTTCGTATTGACACACACAGAAAGCGTACCCACATGCGTCGCTGAACGTACATCGGGGCAATCAGTGATACAACCAATTCAACTCAGTGAAAATACGAGATGAGTAAACAAATACAGAGTTGAATACCGTAGCGATCAGCGCGCCAGTTAAATCATTTCCATTCCCTCGCTTCACACTCTCTCCCCTTCTTCTTTCTCCTTCTCCTCCTCATTCACCTCCTCTTTCTCGTACTTCTCTCTATCCCCTTCCCAACGCACAACATGTTCTGCTAGCATCTATGACAAATACGACATACGCATATACGCTCTCCTATGACACTATTTGTCATAGGAAGAATCTTCCTATGACAAATACGACATACGCATATACGCTCTCCTATGACACTATTTGTCATAGGAAGATTCTTCTTGTGGCAAATATTGGCGAGTCAACTTCGTTCCGCTTTACAGCTGAAATTTACTGCTTGCGTTCATAATAACGCTCCTAAACTCCTATGATGCGCACAACACATGCAACAATATATGTCATAGGAAGAATCTTCCTATGACAAATAGTGTCATAGGAGAGCGTATATGCGTATGTCGTATTTGTCATAGGAAGATTCTTCCTATGACAAATAGTGTCATAGGAGAGCGTATATGCGTATGTCGTATTTGTCATAGATGCTAGCAGCACAGGCTGCAACGCACAACGTGACTAATGGTTACTGTTACCCCCGCTTTCGCAACACAACAGCGCTAATTCAATATTTAAACTCGTGATTTGCGGGGTCGAATAAGGGCAGTGACACGGGGGAGGGGAACCTCAGCTAAACCCGTACTCACCACCACCGTTCCACCACCATCACCACCACCTTCTCCAACAGTAGCAGCAGCAGCAGCAGCAGCAGCGGCAGCAACCGCAGCAGCAGCAGCAGCAGCAGCCACAGCAGCAGCAGCAGCAGCAGCAGCTGTAGCAGCAGCAGCAGTAGCAGCAGCAGCAGCAGCAGCAGCAGCAGCTGCACCACCACCACCAGCAGCAGCAGCAGCATGACAGAGGTGCATTGTTCGGTGGCTATACGCAGACGAATTACGCAATTAGGAAATATGTGCGCGGTTGTCACTTGTTGAATATTGTATAGAATGTTGTTTGTTGTGGGTGCGGGGCGGGAGCCGACGCCCGTGCTTCTAGCGTCCACGGTGTATCCGCTCATGAATCTAGCACACAAGGCAACAGACGGTGATCTATCTATCTACATACACGCACGCACACAGATACACTGAGGCACGCACGCACACACGCACGCACGCACGGACGCACGCACGCACGCACACACACACACACACACACACACACACACACACACACGCACACACACACACACACACACACG